CTTTCTATTGCGGAATCTAATAAACTTAGTAAGAGGTCTTACCAATAGGGAGATAAGCACGTACACCAGGATGGAAGATATCATCAAACGCTTTAAATGACAGATAATGTTCTTCAGATTCATAGTTACATCGCTTTACGTCGGTGTTCTCTAGGAAATGAATCTCCTTTTGAGTGTCTGTTAAACGCTGCATAGACACCAACGACAGTAAAATTGTTGATTTTTTTCCACTGTCCTTCATGCATGACAGAGTCGAAATATGCAAACAACCACGCCCAGTTACAAATAGCATGGATCTTGTCTCCCTGTTAATAATATTTTAAAATAATTATAAGTAAAAAATAGAAGATTCAAATAAAAGAGACCATGGTGTATACGGTTCAAATCCACGCTCAAAATTAAAAACATAATTTTTAACTTTCTAAAGATCTGAAAACTTACACGTTCATCTGCCAATATGAAATGAATTGACTCTTCTCCGTTGGTTGCAATGCTCTTCCATTTTCTGTGAACCTTCAAACGCATTTTCCAATCTGATTTCCAGAGATGAAGGTCTATGATTTTGTCATAGTTGGACATTGTTTGATTTTATGGAAAAAATTGCTTTCAAAGTGTTGTGTTTTTTAGATAGTGATGGACTGCAAATTTATCTGTCTTGTATATATAGTGGGAGAAAATCTAGGTTTATGTGATATAGGGTGAAGTAGCGGTTTTAAATGATGGTTTTAATGACTTTGGACTCTATATTTCTTTTCCTTATCAGCTTTAATACAAATTTTCGGGAAAAGAAGAAAGACGACATGACAACACGCTGCAATATCTTTTTTGGTAAGCAATTGAATATTTGAATGCAGAAAGTTTTACTTAAAAATTATATTGTGATCAAATTAATCTCTATACATTCAATATTCATTTTCCTTTTGCAGATTTAGAATTTCGTTTTCGGGAAAAGTTTTCTCAAGGACATGACATAACGCTGCTACAAAGTTTTTGGTAAGCAATCATAATAATTTTTTTTTAACTTTTCAGTAAAACAGTAAAAGGTCCAATTATTTTTGATAGAAACTAACGCCACTTTAACACTTATTGGTTCATTTGTAAGCAAAGAAAATACTTAGACCGAGGAGTGCTCCATTCCTAGGTAGTGATTCCTTGTTTTTCTCGACCGAAGAGTAGCCAATTGAGATGGGCTACGTCCCAACAGAAATATTGGACCAAAGAGTAACAAATAGCTCATACAATATCGAGCCCATCATTGTTAAGGTATGTTTCGAACAACTTACTTTTAAAGAACTTTCTTAGATAAAGATCTTAGATAATTAAGAATACTATAAACCAAATAATAATATCATAATTTTAAAAATATTTCAAAATCTCTGATTCTAATGATATCATTATGGGCAAACTTTAATTCATAAACGAAATAGAGATATTATTGAGTTCAGCTGTTGTGTTTTATGGAATAATCCAGGCAGAAACAAAAAAACAAAGAATGAGTAACCTGAAATAATTAGACAATGCTTTAGAGAAGTAAAAAAAATAAGTATTAGCCACTTTTGATATCACTCCCAAACTTCTCGATTTTGACCGGGCCTAGGCATTGTTTCTTATTTGCTGAATGTTGATCTTCGAAAACTTCACTTATAGTGTCATCTTTTCTCTTCGAAGTAGGGGTAACTTGGAAATGAATATCAAAATCGTTATTTGACTCAGTGTTGGTAAGAGATAACAAACCCTATTCAAAATAAAATAGATTATGGTTAAGGAACCACTGCGAATTATAAACACCTACAAAAATTAGTATAGTAATATACCTCATCACCAGAAACCAATTCGGAAAAATTAACTGGCTTTTCTGAATCATCAACAGTCAAATCTTCAACCATACCATTGTTACTCAAGATCTTGGAAACCTTGAAAGTATAGTGACCACCACCCAGATTTTCTTTATCAACAGCAAGAACAAACTGAAATGTTTTTCCAACTAAGTTCATGATCGTTGGTGGGAGATCTTCAGGATCTTCGATCTACACATTTGAAAAATAAACTGAATCAATGTACTTATACGATCATATTTGATAAGCAGCAAATATATTGGCAACTGAGATTCAATAAAATCAAAGCATGAAAATTTTAAACCAAACCTCATCGAATGATCCATTGAGCAAGTCTGATGCTTGGCATTTTAACATCTCAGTTGCCGATGTGTCGAATAACAATATAGTAATCTCACTTGTTGTATCCATAACCTTCAGATGTAGCTTAAACCTGACATTGTAATTGAACAATATGTTGTGACTAATATGATATCTTAGAGCTTATTGTAAAAAAATAAAAATTAGTGACTTACTTGGGCACAACGTTGGTGATAGTCTTGTTGCATTCATTACAATGCCACTTAGATTTCGCTCCCAAAGGAACCACTTCATTGGTTCCTGCCACTATTTTCCTAACCTTCTTGTGATTTTTGATTTTGCATCCAAAATAGTACCATCCTCAATCAGTATCAATTGCATAGACAGTGCAGATGATCCTGACTTTGCCAACCTACAACATTTTTTGAATTATTAGAATACTCATATAACAATCTCATAAGGAAACAGATATTTTTATAGTAAAAAATTCTAAAAACCTCGGTTAGTTCTCTAAGTTCAGAGACAATGACCATAGGAAACTGGTTCCAGTAATCGTCGGTCGTGGCTACAATCTCCTTTTTGGGTTTTGTTTCCAATAGAGTAAGGGCCAGGCCATCATCTGGTAATCTATAGAATTTAAAATTTCATGAGAAAGCTGTAAATAGAGTGTACACTGTAAAAATGTGATGGGTATATAGGAACTAACGCATTCAGAAACTCCTGGATTTCAGTTCCTGGTGGGTTTATGATGACTAAACTGGTATCAAAAGCGTTAGAAACACTTTTTATTTCTGTCGCATATGAAAAATCATTGTAAGAAACAGAAATATATACGAAAACAGTAGAGTAAAAATTTGTTCAAAATAGAAAGTGTACCTCTGAACTCTTTGATTTTTCCAAATCTAATGAGACAAATCACTTTTTCGCTGTCAGGATTGGAAGTGGCTTCAACGATTTGATCGGCAAAAGATCCCCATAAGGTACAGCTTAGATGCATATTACTGAGAATTAATGTTGAAAAATGTCTAAAAACTGAATAAACTCATATCCAAACATATAAATGTTACAAAATCAGTTTAGATAATACTTACTGCTCATCCCGTAGTTCGAAGTCAATCTTCTTTGCCTCCTTGTTATTAACATGCATAGTAAACAGTTGGCCGACATTCACTATTTGCCCGATCACATCTAATTTTTTAAAAATAGCTATAGTTAGATAAAAATGACTGATCAGAATATATAGATGCTCTGATTAAATATTATATTGTACCACACAGGATGCTCTGATTTTGCTTGCCATTATGAATTTGATCAAAAGGTACCAAATCCAAATAATCTGACTCTGGTACCGTAGCAGAATTAGTCACAATTGTGTCTTTGACAAAACTAAGACGGTAACAATGTTTGGTAGTCCTATATTGACCAATAGAATGGCTAACGTTGAGCTCTTCAATGAACTTCCAGTTCCCTGTGGAGAGATGTTTTTCATATCTCTTCAGATGCTGTTTTTTTTAACAGAACAGTGAATTTTCGAACCCTGAAAGAAATAGTGAACATATCAGATCGGTTCAATGAGGCTTCAAATTTTGTAAGCACTTATAAAGTTGTAATATAAGCCTTTCAAATATATCATACCTGTCCGTCAAAATCATTTCGATTGATTCTCCTGATGCGAAAGCAAACTGCTTCCATATGTGCAGGATTTTGACCTGAATCCTCCAACTGGATTTGAAAGGCTTAATACTTTGGACAGGGGTGACTGGAAGCTTGGAAGCCATGGTACCTTTCTCTGTTAAAAGAGGTATGATCTTTACGATAAGCTCTTTAAGCAATTGTTTCACAGAAGAGTTTGTTTCACATATATAGTAAAGTCTAATAGATTTTTCAAGCATTTGTTTTACTTGCGGATCTTTTTTCAGATATTTTTACTACCATAACAAAACATGCAATCTTATAATCATTATGAGATTGTTTAGATTTTAATTTGAATGTTAGGTAGTGATTCGGGAATGTAGGATATCCGGATATTATAGATTCCATGCCAAGGTGTAGCAGTTGCCATAATTTTATGATATATTGAGATTTGCCAATATATATGATTCATAAAGTATATAAAAGAGATTACGAGTCAATATTAGGTAGTTAGCGAGAATATATGATCGATTTTAACCGATTCAATATATTATGAGAGTTGCCATATTTGTAGTGAAATATGTTTTGATACTTTATGATTTTAGATTTGGAATGAATTTTCAGAACCGGGCTTCCATAAATCTTTGATTAATCCGATTTGTTTTAAGTAGTTCAGATCCGCGTGCATTTAAATGGAGTTTTGGGTCGGATTTTCTTGTTTAGACATACTCGAGTTAAGAAGGCCGAGTTAACTCAGTGAACTCGCCAACTTTGTCCCTAAATATATATGTTGCGAAACACTATTAGTTTGAAATCGCAGTGGCATTTTTTGTAATAACATTGATTTTTTTGAGTGTCTAAAAAATGTATTTCTCAAATAATATTGTAGAGATGTTAGAATCCATCAACCAATGACTATAGATTTCGAAAATATTAATAATCTTCTAAAATTAAATGAGGAAATGATTAATCTATATATACTAGTACACTACTATTTCCTTAATTGATCTACAGTTGATACAATTAATCGTAGGTTTGCTTGTTTTTACTTTATCAATGAGACTTATGTAATGAATAAGAAAACAACAACGTTACAAAACAAAATAAAATAAAAAGGTGACGTACGTATTTGTAACGTTGATCACTACTGTTACTAAATATTAATGGTCTCATCTTCTAAGTTTCAGCTATAAAATCTCACTCGGCAACATGCATAAATCAAACTAAATTTATAAAAAGACCATAAAATGAAAATCAATATATTGGTTATTGTTGCATTTTCCCTTTTAGTCGTCGTGCGGTCATTATCTTCGATGAAACAAACTCTTTACTACGAATCGATATTTAATTTTGGTGATTCTTTAAGCGACACCGGAAATTTCCTTGTCTCCGGTGATGTATACTCTCCGACCATCGGAAGACCACCATACGGCGAAACTTTCTTTAACCGTTCAACCGGCCGTTTCTCTGATGGACGTCTCATCATTGATTTTATTGGTTTACTTCTTATCTCTTTCTCAAAATATCACTGCCATTTACATAATGGGTTTGATTGGTATGTCAGATGAATAACAAAATAGCGGAATAACTGAAAAATTACTAGCAGAATGAACTGAACTGAATAATATTTTAGCTGAATAATTATGAAACGCTGAAAAGCTACTTTTAATAGATTAATCACGTTTTGTTTTATTTTAGTTATATTTTTAACACGCTAGCGGAATCACGTTTCAAAAACATAAAAAAACGTGAAAACGTGATAAATAACATGAATGGTAAAAAATAACAGAATCAAGTTTCCAAAACGTGAAAACGTGAAAAAGCTGCATGCCATATGTGTCAAATATTTCTTAAAACCATTTTATCTCTTCTTTGTTTTATTCAAAAATCACGATAAACGTAATTTTACTAAATAAAGTAAATACTGTAGTCAATATATGATAGAATTAGGACCGATAAAAAATGATAAAGAAAATATATGTGTATACATATATAGATAAATATGTTAATATACATAATTCATAAATATTATATCTATATGTCAATATAAAATATTCAAATTTTACAAAATAAAAAAAAATCTAACGTCTCTGTAAATGTTAATTAATTAATTTTTGTCTAAAAACGTAATTATTAAAATAAAAAAATCACAGAGCATACTCTAATATCCAGTAAAACATCTGAATGACAGCATATATTCATACATGGGATACCTTCTAGTTGAAGAGCGTATAGGATAAAGAAAAATGTTGATCTTGATAGAATAGAACAAATCATAAATGCCACAAGAATTAAGATATACACTTCGAGCAACCATATACACTTTATAATGAAAGACCAAAAATGAAGCTTACATGCACAAAATAAAATATCTAAAAGCTTATATCTTTTAATATGTGACTAATTGCAGCTGAAGCAAATGGATTACCATACGTTCCACCGTATCTCCAAAGTGTAGTAACAAAATCTTCAATGGATTTTAAGAAAGGAGCAAATTTTGCAGTGGCTGGAGCGACGGCGAACGAATTTAACTTCTTTAAAGAAAGAGGTCTTTCGGTAACATTATTGACGAATAAGACATTGGATATTCAACTTGACTGGTTCAAGAAATTGAAACTTTCTCTTTGTAAAACCAAGCCAGGTATAAAATAAAATATTGCATATTGCCTTATTTATATTGATGATTGATCATTGATATATATAGCCAATCAATTTCTTTATCGTTTACTTTGATACTTTTACCATATTTTTCACTAATAGTCCATATTTTCTATGATTGTGCATGAATCACTTTGACTTATTGTTGACTAATAGTCCATATTTTCTGTCTTTCTTCATCATTTTTGGTGATTTTTTTTTTGAACGATAGTGTTTTTTGTGTTTTTTTTTTACTAAGAAAATATACGATAGTGATTTTTTTTTTTGTGTACTCTAATTTATTTTACTTTTGGCAGAATGTGAACAATACTTTAAGAAATCTCTATTTTTCGTGGGAGAAATTGGTGGAAACGATTATAATTACCCTCTTTTAGCATTCCGGAGTTTTAAACATGCTATAGATTTTGTACCATTCGTCGTTAACAAAATCATTAATGTCACAAGCGTAAGTAGGAAACGTTTACATTAAATTAATGTATTTTAAACCTTAACTAGTCCAAATGTTCATTGATTTAACATTTGGGTTTTGTTTTAATTAGGCTTTGATAGAGGAAGGTGCGGTGACGCTGGTGATTCCGGGAAACCTTCCTATTGGTTGTTCGGCGGTTCTATTAGAGCGGTTCAGCGATGATAAAGGATGGCTCTATGACCCGAGGAACCAATGTTACAAGCCACTGAACTATATTGCTAAGCTTCACAATGATAAACTCAATAAAGAACTTGTAACTCTAAGGCAAAAGTACCCTCAAGCCAGGATTATATATGCTGATTATTACGGTTCTGCCATGCAATTCTTCAACTCGCCTGCCAAATATGGTAATAACCCGATTTCGGTATAATTTCCTAGTTAGGCAATGTTTAGCATATTGACCTCCAAAACAAAACAAAAAAGAATGTTGATGAACACTTTTCTTAATGAATGTTGATGCAAATAATTTTTGTTAATTTTTTTCATAATAGGTTTTACTGGAAGTGTCCTAAAGGCATGTTGTGGAGGAGAAGATGGAAGATACAATGCGAAACCAAGCGTACGGTGCGGCGGAAAGGGTTCGACAACTTGTGAAAACCCTTCAACGTATGCAAATTGGGACGGAATCCACCTAACCGAGGCGGCGAACCGCCACATTGCAACCGGTCTCATCTCCGGCCGTTTCACCAAACCTTCTCTTAATAACAATTCATTAATTTACAAGTTCTAATTATATATAAAAAACACACACACATAATTTGAACATGTTGGTAAAAGTCATGAGATGGAACTCTTTTTGTAACGAAAAATAATTGATATATATATTCAAAATCCAAATGCTAAATTCAGAATCTAGGAGTAGATTACAAGTATCATCCAATCAACAAGTTTGGTATAAGTTTAACTCAAGAAGAACTAGAGAATACGAAGTTGCTAGAATCGGGGAGAAAATTTAGATGATAAAATCAGAGATATGTGGATTTTGGCAATGTATATATTGAAGAAAAATTATATGATAAAAGCTTGTAGTACTGATAAATTTTGTCATAACATTCTAATGTTATTTCATATTTGATTATTGTTTTACATAAAATCAAGAAATTATATATGTTCCATCAATCTAAAAATAGATCACTCGTGCTTTTATATCATTGTATGTTGTGCACTATATCTCTACGTGAGGAGATCACTAAGTAATAATAATATGACTTTTTACTAGCTTAATCAAAATTTTCAAAACTATTCAGTCATTCAAACATGTCCAGCACTAGGCTCAATACCATTAGAGACGATAATTTGAAAATTGGTTAAAAGATAAAAATCGTGTTTTCGTTTATAACACAGTGGTTATTTGGTTAACTAAAGCTGTCTCTAATAAAAATGAATTTTACAGATCTACAGCTACAGCGTCATCATCATCCCAGTCGAGGTTAAATGAATTAGCAGCTTTCTTAAGCTCGGTTAAACCAGTAAGATCTTCTAAGTACGTGGGATGGTTTATAGCTTCAAGTATGAAACTGTTTCCTTTCTCTCGGTACTCTGATACCACCTGAAACATATAAGTCAAGACATCACATAAGTTTCTTCGCGAGCTCCACGTTTTTATTACGTTGTGGAGAAAACTCACGGTTTCAGAACAAGCGGTACAGCTATTGGAAGCTTCCCCGAGCAAAGTGATCTGTGAGAACTGAGAAATCGAGCCTCGAATCTGATGAGGTAAGATCCCGAGAGGCGAGTCATCAGTGTTTCCTCCATTACCAGAGCTCGAATTATCGCCTTTTGCGTAGATACTGTAAGAAAGGAAACAAAAATACCGTGAGAAGATAAAGCCTGATGACTCAACTTTTATTTTTTTTTTCTAAGAAAGAAGACTTTTTTTACCCAAGTGGGTGTTGTAGAACTCCGACTAAGAGCTCAACGGCGAGAGCTCCTGCGATAGGAGCTAGACCGGGGCGTGTAACAGTGCATTGTTGGTCCAGAGTTCGATCAGTCATTGACTGCAAAAACACGAAGCTGGATAAAAACCGGAAGGTAACAACACAAAACGAATCGAACATCGACAAAAGAAACAAAGAACTTACATCTTGAGGTGCAACCACGTCGTTGCAGAAGTAACAACCTAGTCTCTGTCTATGTTTGTTGTTCATGTCAAGATCCTGCATTTCATCAGATAACGAGGCCGGGGCAGCGCCATGACGCATTACCATGTAGCTATCGAAACCTAAAGCCGCGTTTATAGTGATCTGTAAAAACTCAAATCCAGCAAGATTGTTTATACTTTCCCAAGAAAGCAAGAAGAAGAAGAAGAAGAAGAATTGATTACCTTGTTGGCGTTGGCACAAAGCAGAGAAGGTAGCCACCGGCTTTCTCTTGTATCGGTTAACAAGAACACGGCGTCGTGAGATTCAACCAAACCGCTAAGGCGTTTGCAATCACCGAGAACAGATTCTTCTTCTTGGCTAGAAACCGGATGTCCAGGCATTGGTATCGCCATGACAACTCCACTAGATTCCATCGCTGGGAATATCTGTTTAAGGCTTTTGGCAGCAGCAACGGCTTTAAACTCACCACGGCCTACACAATCCTCGAACGTGTATAGAGATTGCCTCACTGGATTAGACATAGCTACTTTGCCATAGTCAACAAAAGTGATATTGCGGATTCCCCAACCCTAAAATAAAGAACAAAAAAACTTAAACAAAGTTCTTGTTAATGGATTCAGTGGGTTTGTTTGTAAGATTGTTTTAATCTTATGCATTCTCCATTAATACATACCATGAGAGTGCGAGCAACTTGGCAACCCAATGTACCAGCTCCAAGAAGAAGGCATTTGACAGAGGACAAGACGTTCAAGTTAAGAGACGGTAACGCACGCCATCTCATTAGCTTCAAGTTTAAATCACAAGCGGAAACAGCCAACCTGCGAAAAGGAAAGGACTTGAACCCGTTTTCTCTTAACTAAGATTACTCCAATTTTAGTTGGCTAAATCATCGAAGATGTAACCTTGTTGGATCCATGGAATTAGCGAGGCTAATGGATCGGGGAACTCGTTTGCCTTTGTTAAGCTCCCATCCCACTGAGCTAGGTACAGTCTCACCTGATGAAAGCGTTGTAACCGAGGCTTGACCAACAAGGGAAAGGCTCAAGTCAGCGAAACCGCGACTCTCTCTGTAGCAAAAGAACCAAACTTTCTCGAGGTTCCATCTTGAGCGAATAAGTGCCAAGTAGTTTCGAAGTGGCCATCCTGGGTTACTCGGAAGGTGACATGGGTCATAGAAACCGAAAAGCAACTGCAGAAAGAGAGATTGATAAAGCTGAGTTCTTTTTGAAACGTATTGAAAGAGATAGCTGCAACATACCTTTTGATTGTCACCTTGGCAAGATTCATAGTCTTTTAGATGTCTGATGGTAGCTTTTGAATCACAAGAAACCGAAACCAAAAAGAATGGAACATCTGCAGCAAAAACACATAGAAGTAACAAACGTTTTCAGCTACACCACTCGTTAAATTTGCATAATGGATGATAAGGAGGATGTCGTTGAGTACCTGTAGTTAGATTTGAGTCGCGCCAGTCATTACAAGCAGAGGAAACTGATTCGGCCTCTTCTACACTAAAATACTCTGAAGCTGGCTTTAACTCTATCAAGCTTGCGGGAGGATCAAGTACAAGTGCAGGGAAAGCAAACCAGTAACGAAAACTCCATTTCTTAAGGTCTGCGAACGAGATAACAAGGAATCTTGATAACAGAGCACAGTCCTCAACAGCTTTCCCTGATTGAATATCTTCCCAGATCTGAACACTCACCGAAAATATTAGTTAGATCTTTCTGCAAAACCCAAGTCAGAGATAAGTTGTTGTGGTACCTTCTTTGCTTCTGCCTTTAGCAAACTTTGTTTGTCAAGTTTATTGAAGCTTTCGACGGTATTGGTGTTATACAGAATCCCAGGAACAGGACATTTGTTTCTATTTCCATAACTAGTACTCTCGACCAATGACTGTTCATCATCTGAAGGCAATGATTCCGAAAGAAGGGTCAAATGATTTGAGACCTGTGGATGAGAACATGGTGCACAGAAACCTGCAATTTCAATCCAAACAACAAAAAACAAAACAAAACAAATAGCTCATCACATTAATCTCCAATAGTTAAGATAATCAAATCCGATTTGATCGATTCAGAAAATTTGTGAAGATGAATCTATAAACAGCTTCCAAGCAAACCCACATGAGCTATATAACCTTTTGATCTCGGATTCGATCTACCAGATTGACATTTTTCGAAAATTCTACAATCGATTTCTAAACAGGGAATTTAAAAGTTCTCAACTTTGTTTTTTTGAAGATATATTTTTATTTTTTCCTCAGTACAGAAATCAATGTGAATGCATGGAATCATCGAGGTATATATTAAAATATACGTTTTGGGTAATTGCGTGATTCATCGTTTGTGTGTTTACCTGTGATGGAAATCGGAGAATCGTCGATTCCGAGCTTGTCGAGTTTCAAAGAGGAGAAGCTATGCCAGAAACCTTCGTCGACGGAACTGTTTAACGGAGCGAATTGAAGTATCGTCGGTGGAATTGCTTTCTCATCCATGGACGAATCTAGTCACCGAGTGATTGCGATTTCTCGAGAGTCAATGACTGTAAGGAGGAAGAAGAAAAGAAGAAGACGATGACGGAGAGAGGACAGCAAGAGGAATCGTGCAAGGAACAGAGTCAATCCGGGTCAGGTCGGGCCGGGTTGGCTTTATATCGAAGCAAAACCGGTTTATTTTGAAAATAGAGGTAAAAACTCGGACGGTTCAGTTTACGTCGTGGTGAGATCCGGTTTTTGGTATGTCCCAAAACTAAAAGTACAAAAACACAGATCCATCAATATTTTAACAAACCCTATTTCATGTATATTTATTTTTGGTTTTAAAATCTATTTCATGTGTAATAGGGCTCAAAATGCATAGGATACGTAATGTTTACTTTTTTTGTTAAAGTAAATTGATAGTTAACATTTTATAATATGCATATAAACCTAAGATTCATTTGTATATGATAAACATGGTATATATAGTAATAGTATGTATATTATTGAATCGGATTTGATTATGACGAACCAAAAATTTTGAACAGAACCGGCCCTTAAATTTTAGAGACTGCAAACAATAAAGAAAAAAACTTGCGAAAAAAAAAAATTCAGTTTCTATTGCTTTTGGCATTTTCATGCATTCTTTACTTATCAGTTTTCATATTTATTTGGTTTAACTCGATTATGTATGTGTTTCAAATTATCCGTTGTTCTTAACGTTCAAAAAAAATTGATATTGGGACTTATATATATACGTGGCTAAATTTGAATAAACAAGATGAACATTTCGAATCTTTTGCATCACATAAGCTTACAATTTCACAGCATGCATTCAACAAAGTCTTAAATATAATCACACAGATTATTCAAATTACCATTTATAAGACATACTTAAAACCCCCCACACATACACATTTTAGCTTAACCGGGTATTGAACCGGTTTTTTCATACAATTGGGTAAGAAGATTTCATGGCAAGACCACATAGTCCTTTTTTATCCTTGACATCTTTTTTAATCCTCATGTAACCATATTCTCCCCAATTTAGTCCCCAAGAATTCTTGATGATCCAATACTGTGATCCGTTGTTAGATTGGCCGTATCCAACCACAGTCACCCCGTGATCAAGATCCGTTGTGCACTTTCCGGTGAACACACCGGACGAATAGAATCTGAAATCAAAACCGCCTCCTTCAATTGCAATGCTAACCGGTTGGTGTGCCACTGCCTTCATCAGTGCTTTCTCGTTGTTAACCGGAACATCCTCATAACCTGTGATGTATGTACATGCAAGAGATTATTAGAATTCCAAAGATGAATCATATCCAAGGATGGACTTTCACTTGTGAGGATCCATTGATTATGATCAAGTATAATTGTATAAATATATTGGTTCAGCTGGTTATTTTGGTATACTCAGTTGTGAGAATTATGAACTAATTTTATAGTTGCTTTAGTTTGCTTTTAAAAAGAAAAAAGAAAAAAAAAAAAAAAATATATATATATATATATGTTTGGTTTGGTTTTAATCACAAATTTATAAACAACGATTCTAAATTTATATTATCGATAATCTAGTATAATATGAAATTATTATTTTGTTATTTCTAATTAGTTTGTTTGGATTCAGTTTTTTAATTTCGCTTTTCGGTTCTAAAGTAGTATAAGAAAACTATTAGATCATATATAAACAAAAATTTAGTTGCATGGTTTAAATTCGACTCATTACGGTTTATTGCCCATGCACCTCCTTAATTTATTTAATATTTTACACTGCATTTCGACTTTTGTAAAAATGTCATTTTAAGGGAAAGAAAGAGAAACCTTTGATAGAAGTTACTGCCTGTTCAGCTTTCTTGATATTGCAAGTACCGTCTTTGCCTTTATAAGGGTAATTTGACTCAGAGGTTAAACCGCCAGACGCCATTATGTAATCAAACGCAGTATCCATTAGACCGCCCTTGCAGCCATAATCGTGTTTGTCGCAGTCGACGAGCTGTTGTTCAGACAAAGAAATAAGTTTCCCTTTCTTTATCTGTGCTGCTCCTTCTACAGCTGCAACCGCTGAAAACGCCCAACAACATCCTACACAAACATTCAAGATATATCATTAATTATCTTCATGTATATATTTATGCCAATAAATAACTTTTTCCACAAAAGGAACACTATATTTCACTTAATTTTGATTTATTCTTTACGCTGTAGATACCACTAACTTTGTTTTCTTTTTTCTTAAGTATAGTATAGTGTACAAAAATAAATAATCTAAAGTTTATATAATATACGCATGCATAAAGATTTAAATTATTACCGCAGAAGTGTTGACTCTTGATAGGAGTAACAGCTCCTTTCTTCCTCCAATCAACAGATTTAGGCAAAGCACCGGAGGAAACGTTTTGGTACCTAAACGACGTAGTTTTCTTTTCACTCTGGCTAGACAACAACGAGTCTCCTTTGTAACCAGTGTACATAGAGCGGAATTCTTCGTTGGTTAGATCAGCAAACTGATTCACCGCTAGTTTAAACGTTCTTCCGGTGGGAACGCTGTTTAAGCGTTCAATACGTTCCACGTTGCGTTTAAACACGACGTAGCGATAGTTTTTCTCTTTCACATCTGCGTAAATACGACCGTGTTTAGCCATCCACTCGTCGTGCCTATTTTGCATGATGAGTTCATCGTCGAGAGGACGAGAAAGTGTGGTTGATAAACAGAATGATGAGAGTAGAGAGACTATGAGAAAGATTTGGAGCTGTTTAAAAGCCATTGTTTTTGAAAAGTAGAAGGATTCTGATACTAATTTGATTACTCCAAGAAGGTCTTGAAGTGGGGTTTTATAGTAAAAAATAAGTTTGTTGGTATTGGTAATGTTCACATGAAGTGATTGGGACAAAGTATTTTTAGTTTACAAGTAATGATCTTATACTGTTATACATTCATATACATATAAGTGAATGATCGATCATGGTTTTGTTCTTTTTTGGTTTTAGTTATTTTTTATATTAAACTGAAATATAGTCCTGTTCACTTCACTTTGGCCGGATTTTTTCGTTGCAGTTGCGATTTAGTTTTGTAAGCAAGTCTATTTGATAGTTATAAAGTTCGAACCTAATGAACTTTGATCTCTCTAAGACTTGTGATACTCGAACATAGATATTCATTGGCGTTTATCACATATATATTTATATATTGAATATCAAAAATGAAGAATCATAATTTTTAACACTGTCCGTTACATCATCATCAAAGATATATGATCTAATTCTATTACAAATGATGAACAATCGACCTAATTCTGCAGCGCATGCAATTATAATGAACAGCTACACGAAAAACGATTCTGCGACGTATAGTGTTCACCGCAACACACGGTTCATCGATTAATCTATGATAGATGAATATTCTTTACAACAATAATTTGTTGTGTGTTGTGTTAGTTTTGGAACAAAAACTAATTTATACTATTTAGAATGTCTTTAAATATTTGTATTTGAAGACATTCTTATTAGAAACAAACAATTTTCAGCACTCTAGATAGATAATCTTATGTAACTATACGTTTACTTTGTTTTTATTGTTATTGGGATCATAGCTTCTTTTTTGCTCAAAAAAAAAAAAAGCTTCTTCTTTTATACAGTAAACGTATTTTCTATATCTAATAGTTTCTTTCTGGAGTTTTATAATTTGTTTTCTGTGATCAAAATTGGAATTTGCATATTATCTACTATATCAGTTTTGCTAGCGATTTCTCTTTTTTTTTTTTTATTCAGTATATATACAAAACATATATAGTAGTACCTGGTTAATGGATATTCATTTTTTTTCAAATGTATGTGTACCTTTAATGCATCAAAATCACTAATATCATCAAAACATGGAATCTTCTTTTGTCTTTTAATTAATTAATTAATTTGAATTCAAAGATTCCGTTCATTCACAAGAGAACCATTCGTGCAAGTTAAAAGCTTAAACAAAGAAAGAAAAAAATGATTCGGCAATATTAACTACTTCGATCAAATCGTCGAATCATAGTCACTCACACAACAAGTGAACTTCATTACGCTAAGTATTCTTTTGTAGATAAATCTAAATATTTTGCTAAAAAGTTTCCTGTTCAATGATGTTTCCCACCAATTTCATCTATTCGAATTTCTATGAAATTTTCTATTTTGTGCTAAAAATACAATATAATTGCTTATATATTATTAGTTAGGGATAATAGAAGAAAAGTGATTAATCATTGGGCGATAATAAAGATGCCTACGGAAAATTCATTTTTGGGCTCAAATCCAAATCATATTCGGCTGAAGTGAGAACAACGTCTAAACGACTAGATTCAAATTGACAAATAGACACAAATTTAAACGTAATTATTATAATTATTATTTTACCGTAGTGATATATTTATTTTTCTAACGCAAATTAACTATCATCAAAATATGTTCTAAACTTCTCAATACATATATACACGATATCATATTGTATATACAATCAAAATTCATCATTCGAGAGTGCCATCATCACCAGTTTGAAAAAAAAGAGAGAGTATAATGCTAATTTTACATGCATACAAGAAATTTCACATGCATACAAGAAATTTAGTTTCCAAAACAGAAATCAACCAAATTAATTGCTTTAGTGTCATGTAATGTATCAAACTTTGTATTTGAGTAACTCAACGGAAAAGCTTGAATAACATGCCAGGAAATAAAATTACATTAATTAAATTCAATTATTTGGAAGAATTTAAAAAATAGAAATTTTAAAACGATCCTTTAACAAAATAAATAAAATTTTAAAACTATAACTTTACTATCAAATGGAAGGAGAATTTCAAAAATACTAATAAAAAATACCGCTAGTATATTGAAATATTAAATACCAAATTAGCCAACAAATATTTTTTATTTAACTGTTGATGTTGGCTTCGATCGTTTCGGGTTTTATTTCGTTTTTAAATCGTAAAATTGTTTTATCTATAGGAATTATGATATCAAAGTGCTTCTCTTGACAAATGTTTGAAACATGAGAGATGCACTCTTGAACCTTGGCGTTTTGGTGTCTCATGTGGTTTTGGATATGCTTGTGTCAAAGTTCGACAAAGGACTATTGAATATGACAATCTCGTCCAGTATGTTCATTCGATTTCATTGAGTATCAACTTTATGTTTTCTTCTATAAAAGGTAAATTTCATCACTGGTTCTCGTTTTTTTTCTAGTTGGATTTTTAGTTGGATTTCGTATTTGCATTTACGTTTCTCGTCGTTGCTTTCGTAAGATTTGGACGTGGCTCTCCATATGAGCAACTAAAACAAGCTATGTGTAATAAGTTTGACTATTTGATTGGACTAGATTCCCGAGTTTTAATCATTCCAAACGACAACGGCTTTAGAAATTGGATTTATAAGATTTTACATAGTTTTAAAAGTTTTATAAAAAAATTTTTATAGTATGTTTATAATGTTTAATAATGTTTTATAAAACTCATAAACACATTTTTAACCAAATAACCAAATCCAAAAACTTTCAGAGAAAAAAAAAAACCAAATCCAAAAACTAATTATAAGCTTAATTAACATCATACAAACCGAAACTTGTAAACTTCCAATAGACAAGAACAAAAGTTTCACTAACGGTTTCTAAACATGCAACTTCTAAGATAATTTGTTCATAAATATATTTATAAGAATTTATAGTCCATATTGTTTTATACAAAAAATCTACACATCAACTTAATATAGTTTAAGATTATTAGATTTCTCAAAGAAACTTGTATATTACATTTTAAATTTTATAATTGTAAAAAAAAATTGGATATGAAATTAGATAACTTGATTGTTACAGGTGTCACAACTTCGATTTATCTTCACATCTTCACATTAATATTAATTAAAAATTGATAAAAAACAAGAACTTATTATTTATTTTTTGTCATCATTGATTTGTGATTGAAGAAGAGATACATAAAAAGGGAACCTATCCAAAAAGGTTAACAACACCTCAAATAAAAAGCATCAAACTCCTAATAAAAAGGATAACTAAATGGACCGCGCAATGATAAATAGGTTGAAACCTTCCATCTTTGGTAACATTTTTGGTCTCTAGCTATCAGATTGGCTACCTTGTTCTCTACTTCAAACTCGTATCGAGCAAAGCTATTACTCAAGTTGTTGATAGTATCTGTGTATATGCGGTAATAGGGCCATGCAGATGGTTTCAAAATAACCTCAATAACTTCTGCATAATCCGATGATTAATTCGACAATAAAATAAGTATTTTCTCCAGGGTCCTATTTCTAATAGTAGGAAGCTTCGTCATTTATACCCATTTATATTTACTTCTCTAACAATGTTTACGAAAGTGTTAATGAAGATAACATCATCCATATCTGACACTGATAATGAAGAAGTAACTAAAGAATTAACTAAAAGGGCAACGGAGGAAGAAGTTAGGAAGGTGCTGTCTATGATGAATCTAGGGAAGTTTCTTGGGTCTGATGGCATGATAGCTCTATTTTTTCAGAAATCTTAAGATATTATTAAAGATGATGCGGTATCATAAGGACAAAATATTTTGACAAACGCCTTAACATAATAAATTTATGACAAATATCTGCATTATTCTAAAAACAGAATGTCCAACCAAGATGACGGAGTTATAGCCCATTAGTTTTTGCAATATGGATTAAAAATTATTTGTGAGGTCTTGTGTCAGAGATTGCGCATATTGCTGTCAAGGCTAATATCTGAAACACAGTCAGCTTTTGTGTCAGGTCAACTTATGTCAGATAATATTTTGATCGCACAAAAGATGTTTCACGGATTACAGACAAACAATTCCTCCAGGAAGGTTTTTATGGCAGTAAAAACAGATATGAAAAAAGCATCTGGTCATGTTGAATAGTTTTTTTATTGAACATTTACTTCAAAGAATGGGGTTTGCAGACAAAAAGATTTCATGGATTATGTAGTGTATTAGGTCTGTTCATTATAAGATTCTCATAAATGGTCAGCAAAGGGGACATATAATACCCAAACGAGGACTCGAGTAAGGGGACCTCGTATCGTTATACCTGTTTATTTTATGTACATAAGTGCTCATCTCAATTTAAAAAAAAAAATCAAAGAAAGATCATTTAATTACATGTATAAATATTGCTAGGGCTAGTCCATCGGGTTCACATATGTTTTTCGCAGATGATAGTTTTTTTTTTTTCTAAAGCAACACAAGAGAAATCTACCGTATTACTTAATATTTTAAAATAATATGAGGTAGCTTCAAGGCAACAAATTAATTTTAACAAGTCGTCAATTCAATTTGGACACAAGGTGGACACAAACATGAGAAATATAGTACATACTACATCATAAAGGACTTACCAAAATAGTTGGATCCGGTAATTCCATATATTTACAGAATGATCTATGTATTCTTGACTCACGCATGTGATCAACAACATGCAAAGAGAATAATTTGTACATGAAACTAACAGCCAGTCAATTGATTAACCCATCAACTTCAATGTGGAATATACCACTTTTCAAACAATTAATAGTCTCTGAGGATATACTACTAACAACAGGGCTTTCTATCACATTAATAATAGGAGACATGATCCTCGAAAATAGACAAGCTAGCACAAAATACTCGAGATTAATTTTGTTATCTAGATTATATAAATTCATATCCACCAAATGGTTTACTGAGTTTTTTTACAATTTTAAGACTGTTGACAAAAGAAAAAAAAATAAGTATTTTTTTCACCAAACAAATATATATATATATAGTATATAGTTTAAGTCTTTAAGATGTCAGTTGGTTAAAAAAGCTCTTGAACTTTTAAACTGTATAATTGTGGGAAAACAAATCTATATAAAATATCATAATTTGACCGTTAGAGGAACCATAAATTTAACACCCAAGATTATGATTACTTTCA